TTCTCAAATGCATACCCTGAGAAGAGCATTTATAGTCAACTAGTTATTGCAATGTTACTTCCAGAGAAATCAATAAACAAATAGCAGGACAGGAAAAGGTAAAGCAGCTAAATAAGGACCCAGCTGTAGGAGAATTTTGACTGTCAGTACCTGGACCAGTCCTACTGGGCCCAGGAATGGCCTCCATTTCTGTCATAATAGCTTTCGCTCTCTTCATGCACATACAGCAGGATGACCAAGGACAGGGAATGGTTAACATCTACTGGGAAAGTCACCTTGACTTCCTGTTTGTTATGTGCCTATCCTGAATGAAGGCTCTCTGGGTGCTATAAATGCAAGGCACATACATGGATTTTTATACATTATCCTTCGCTAATGCTCAAAGGCCCATCCTCATGACCTTTAAGCTGAATTATCAACCTGGTTGGTTTGGAACATGTTGAGAGCACTTTAAGTTGAACTTGAGGCAATCCAAACACTGATACACAGTTTGGTGTCCTCTGAGCAAACTCCGGTTTGATGTTTTTCATTAATACTGCAAAATCCACAGGCAATATTATTTAAAATAATCCGTCTATTTTTTTCTCCTCTTGGTATTTCAGTTATGTACACATTATACCTTTTGTAGTTTCCCATAGTTCTTAGATATTCTGTCTTACTACTTCCATTTTTCTCATGACGTTTTAGTTTGGAGAGTTTCTATTGACATATATTAAAGTTCATAGATCCTTTCCTTGGCTGTGTTGAGACATTTTATGAGCCTCTCCAAGGCATTCATCACTTGCTTTATTGGGTCTTGTCTTCCTAGTGTTTCATCTGACTCATTTTTAGATATTTCCTCTCTCCACTTACATTACCAATATTGTTCTTACATGTTGTTCATTTTCATTAGAGGAATGAACATATTAATCATAGTTAAAGTCCCAGTCAGATAATTCTAAAACCTTTACCTGAGTCTGCTTCTGATGCTTGTGTTAAATTTTCAAACTCTGTTTTAAATGCTTAAATTATAATTTATCCTAAGTGTATAAATTGTCCCTACAAATTTTTTGATGACGTCTTACTTTGCTGGCCACCCTAACTTTGAATTCATAGGTTGAAGTGATTCTCCTTTCTCAGCTTCCCAGGGAACTTGGAGCACAGGCACATGGCACTGTATGAAGCTCAGTACTTCTACCTAACAATATACAGCATACATCCAGCCTGACCCAAGCAAATCAGAGAACACTGAAACTGTCTCCCACCTTTCAAAATCTTTCTCCTTCCCTATTAAGGCTAAAATTTTCTGTAGGAGATTTGCTATGTTAAAACTTTGTCTTTCTCTCAAATTCTGGCATTTTTATAATTAGATACCAGTATCTAATTATAAATTAGATTAGATCTAATTATAAATTAGGGAATGAGGGTTTGTTTAAATTACAAGGAGGTTTTCTAATTTGTACACTGTATCAAAAGTTGTAAATTGTTCATATGAGGTTCTCAGTTTTCCTTTTCATTGGACAAATTACACCTAGTAACAACCAAATTCACAATTGTTATACTTATTTTTCCCACTAGTTCTCAAATAGAAGTTGGAATGAAAAGATGAATACATCATTTCTACCTTTATCGCACTCAATTTATCACAGGTACATGTTTTGCGAATCGCAATATATATATATACACACACATCTATATGCATATTATACATAAATATATATACATATATTAGAGGCTCTCAACACCTCATTTATGACAATTAACAGGTTTCTACACAATGAGTAAGCTAGCATCATACTGACATTTTCAGAACCTTTTCCCTAGAAATAATTTGTTATAAATTCTACAGGAAATGGAATCCCAAGAAATTCAGACTGGAATCCAGGGTTTGAACCATTATGACGTTGTTCCAGAAGATGTTGTGACTATATTTGAATAAATGTATATTTTTGTACATGAATAAATGTAGATTGTTGTACAAGAATAAGTGTAGATTATTGCATACAAAAAAAAGACACCTCCTGAAAATAAGCCTTTATGGATCTTTTGGTGCAAGAATTAATATAAGATATACTATTATTTTCTAGGAAATGTGGTATGTAAAATATTCATTGATATTTTTTCATTTTGCAGATAAATGTAAAAGACAAAAACAGTTTTTATTTTATTGCATAGTCATACAAAACCAGAATTATAGGTGCTCTAGTTAACTTTATCCAGCTCCATCTTTGTTTATTTACACCTTTTGGAAATGAAAGTTTTATTAATGTACCTAATAATGGACTTCAATGTGATATTTCCATATATGCATACTGTGTGCATAGATCAAATCCAACTACACATCCCACCTTCTCCATCCTCTGCTATACCCTTCTTAACAGACATTATTCTGCTCTCAGATTGAAATTTTTTAGTTTCCACATATGAAAGAACATACAGTATTTGTCTTTCTGAGTCCTACTTATTTCACATAACAAAATGTCCTTCCACTGTATCCATTTTGCTGCACATGATAGAATTTCCTTCATTTCTTTTGGCTGAAAAATATTCCATTGTGTGTACAGATCACATTTTCTTTATTCATCTGGGCACCAATGCTGATTCCATATTTTAGCTATTGTGAGTAGTGCCACAATGCAGTTTTTTTTTTGGCATGATGTTTTCATCTCCTTTTGATATATGCCCAGTAATGAGAAAACTGGGTCATATGGTAGATCTATTTGTAGTTATACTGTGAACCTTCACACTGTTCTCCATCATGGCTGTACTAATCTAATGTACACCAACAGAGTGTTAAGAGTATTTTTACTCCATATTCTTGGCAGAATTTGTTACTTTTTATTTAGTTAAAAAATATTGACCTGGGAAGGTTTCTTCTAAAACTTTTTTTTTTTTTTTTTTTTT